TGCCGCTAACCGGTTCTTCACAGTGTTGGCTTGCACTATCTTTTCGTTTTGAGGAATATTATCTTGTCCTAAGACACCCGGATGAAGTCCTCTCACATGAGCTCTTTCATTGGAACCTGGAGTTGCTTCCTTTCCAATGAAACCACAATGAATGTGCTCGTGGTTTTCGGTTAATTTCCAGAACATCTCTCGTCCAACTGATAGGTTCCTGAACATTAACAGTGAATGATCCCGAGGGATAAAAGGCAGATATAAGAATGATGATCCACTCTGGTGCAACCATTGCGCAGGCTGGCAGAAAGCAATCTTCGGATCTTTTACCGAGTCACCAAATAAGAAATCTGGCTTCCTTATGCATTGATTCGAGTCTTGCTCCGAGATCAAGGGCGCATCTGTAATTAATCGTCGTAGAACACGACAATTACCTCGCTGGATTAACTCACTATCACTTCCGTTATAATCAGATTTAAACTGGGGAGAGAATTCAATTAACGGGATCCCCTCGTAATAAGAGTGGGTCACGCTACTCCGGCCAGTAATCACATCAGCAGTAAATGTGGTAGAAGGAAATCGAACTGATAAAAGAGGCATACACATAAATGGTGTAAGTGTCATCCTAAAATTTTAGAGAAAAACGGTATATCTCATTCTATAAGATATAGTCGTTATCTCATAACAGGTGTGACGATTTTCTATCCACCATATGTATAAAGGAGGTATGCGGGCATTATAACGGCATACCAAAACCTTTCAATACATATGGGATGATGTAAAATCGCCCCTGTGTATTATGAAGTGTGTTTTGTCAAAGCAAAACAAACACTTTTAAGCGTCGATCCCCTCAAAGGAGGATACCGGCTCTTCTCGAAGGTACCTCAAAGGATACAAACGAGGATCTGCAAGCAAAAATAGGAACATACATATGGAATGGACGAAATACAATATTTAAATTCGTGAAAAGGTGAAAGAAATATACCTCCACGTGAGATCGCAGCAGGGGCAGCCTCCTCAGGGCTCTGAACAGTCGGTCGGATTCCCTTCCCTCGAGCTCTACGTGGCGACATGATGAGTATGTGATCTACATTGAAATCCAAGAGGAAGGTTAAGATTTTGAACATGAAATCGACAAAAAAAATAGGACAAATACAACTGAAATGCTGCATGCACAGTCACAGGTTGCCAAAAGTCAAGATTTTGAAGAAAAGAGGGGAAACAGACCTTTCAAATCCAAATGAAATCTCTTCAAATCGAAGCACCACCAAAGTCAGAAACGAAGAGAAGAAGAAGAGGTGAAGAACTGGTCGAAAATCGCTCGAAAATCGCCCAAGAATCGCCTGAAAATCGCAAAAAATCGACGTGAAAAACCCTAAAAACCCTAAGTCCCGACTTATATAGCAGCCGGGCGAGACAGGAAACTCTGTCTCGCTGAGCGAGACAGACAACTCTGTCTCGCCGAGCGAGACAGAAAACACTGTCTCGCCAAGCGAGACAGAAAACACTGTCTCGCCGAGTGAGACAGAAAACACTGTCTCGCCGTTATCTCATAACAGGTGTGACGATTTTCTATCCACCATATGTATAAAGGAGGTATGCGGGCATTATAACGGCATACCAAAACCTTTCAATACATATGGGATGATGTAAAATCGCCCCTGTGTATTATGAAGTGTGTTTTGTCAAAGCAAAACAAACACTTTTAAGCGTCGATCCCCTCAAAGGAGGATACCGGCTCTTCTCGAAGGTACCTCAAAGGATACAAACGAGGATCTGCAAGCAAAAATAGGAACATACATATGGAATGGACGAAATACAATATTTAAATTCGTGAAAAGGTGAAAGAAATATACCTCCACGTGAGGGTGCAGCAGGGGCAGCCTCCTCAGGGCTCTGAACAGTCGGTCGGATTCCCTTCCCTCGAGCTCTACGTGGCGACATGATGAGTATGTGATCTACATTGAAATCCAAGAGGAAGGTTAAGATTTTGAACATGAAATCGACAAAAAATAGGACAAATACAACCGAAATGATGCATGCACAGTCACAGTTGAAGGAGAGTCAAAATTTTGGAGAAAAGGGGAAGAACAAACCTTTGAAATCTGAGTGAAATCTTCCCAAACAAGAGCACCTCCCAAGTCGGCAACAAAGAGGAGAAGAAATAGAAGAAAACTGGTCGAAAATCGCCCAAGAATCGCCCAAAAAATCGCCAAAATCCGACGTAAAAAACCCTAAAACCCTAAGTCCCGACTTATATAGCAGCCGGGCGAGACAGGAAACTCTGTCTCGCTGAGCGAGACAGACAACTCTGTCTCGCCGAGCGAGACAGAAAACACTGTCTCGCCCAGCGAGACAGAAAACTCTGTCTCGCCGAGCGAGACAGTAAACTTTTCTGTTTTGCACTATGGAACAGTGGAATACTCCAATGGGTACACGAGTCTAAACTGTATTCCCACCCTCAACAGGAAGTTTCTGGAGAATATTAATCTGAATATTCTTAAGGATAACCTGAGGAATTCTCAATGGATATACCAATTCAATGGTAAACGCTGAATTCACAAGAGCAAGTATCAACTTCAATTCAAGATCTCGACAACGGTCAAGCGATAAACGCGACGCCGGGAGAACGTTAGCTATTCTACGAAGAACTGGATAGACTAACAGCAGAAGAGGTTAAACATTGAAGCCATTTACAAGTCCTTTCATACGATCTATTCAGCCAAGCATTGAAGGGATCGTAAGTAAAATCTATCTTATCCAAAGTATCCCATGCTCCTCTATAAAAGAATGAGTCTGGAATACTTTGGAGGGGGTATCTGTAGGCGTCAAAAAATGCTAATAGATATCCCAAGCATAGAGAAGATCACTCAAAAATTCACAAGAAAGGATTTCATACTGTTTTGGAAAAATCAAAACAAGTATGAACTGTCTCGCCAGCGAGACAGTCTTTGCTGTCTCGCCAGCGGGACAGTCTTTGCTGTCTCGCCAGCGAGACAGTCTTTGCTGTCTCGCCAGCGAGACAGTGTTGAAATAGTCAAAACTACATTTGTAACTGCCCTACACGTGTCCATTAACTGCCAAGGGACGTGGGAAACATCATGGGCGAAAATCACGTGGATAACTGCCAAAATAACGGAGTTTGAAACGTGAGAGAACAGTTACAGCGAGAAACTGCCATTTTCCGAGACAGCATTTACTGTCTCGCTGAGCGAGACAGCAAATTTACTGTCTCGCGGGTCGAGACAGCAAACGCTGTCTCGCCCAGCGAGACAGTAAACACTGTCTCGCCGTACTGACTTCTTCGCTTGTTAAGTTTTTGCAGGTTCAGACAGTTACTGTTCCCGAGACAGCATTTACTGTCTCGCGGGTCGAGACAGCAAACGCTGTCTCGCCCAGCGAGACAGTAAACACTGTCTCGCCGTACTGACTTCTTCGATTGTTAAGTTTTTGCAGTTACAGACCCTTGAGGCTATAAATACCCCCCTAGGGTCACTTCTGACGGGGATCGAGCATTTGTTAGAGCATTCCAGAGCAGAGAGAGCAGAGATTTGAGTTCTTTTCTTGCAACGCCTTGAAATTAAGCTTCGACTTGATTTTAAGAAGAACGACTATCTTACTTCGATAAGATATCGTTTCAATTTCTACTTCGATAACGAAGTTAGAATCATAAGCCCCCTCTTCACGATCTGTGAATCGGCGGGTCACGAACCCAAGCGTTCCCGGCACAGGCAAAGTCCCACGAAAACGAGAATTGATAGACGATTTTCGTGTTTGTTTCTCAAGAGTTGTAATTTTTGTTTTGTTGTGTAGAAAAAGTCTTATAAAAAGATTATTCTTTCGAATTTGTTGTAATCGAACAAAGTTATAATGAATTCCACAGTTGGAAGGCTTCACCGATCTTTTGCATCTCTTCCGTTTAGGGGGTGCAGCAGCGGCCATCTTCCCGCGTGCCCCCGTTGCACCCCTCTTTCTCTTATTCAAAGCCCTTGAAAACACAATAGGAGCATCTTCGTCATCAGTTGATGTCTTTATTGCTGGTGGAGGGGCATTCTCTGGTTGCTTTATTTCCATCCCAGTGTCCTCCTGCAGAGTGTCTGATTCCAAACAACCCATTCGAAGTATAAATATTAAGAAAACATAGCCCCTTCTATCTAAACTTAACAATTTCATAGTAAACCTAACAACTGATGCCTAAACACATGGTGAAAAAGTTGCTAACCTATACAAGTTTGCGTCTCCCCATCACCTGCAGAAGGGACTTCAACCGCCGGCGTTATTTCCCTTCCAGTGCCCTCGCGTTGAGTGCCTGTTTCTGATAATATTCAGAGTATAAACAATAAAAAGCTTAACAACCAATACGTAGACATAACAACCAATCTCTAACATATAGTACAAAAGCAAGCTAACCTGTACAAGTTAGTAGCTCCTTCGCTGGCGGGGACACCTTCTCTCCCTCGTTTATTTCTGCCTCAAGGGCCTTGTCAACAGCAGATGCCTCTGGTGGAGGTAATTCTCCTGGCGGAGCATCTTCACTCTCCTTGTGGATATCAGAAAACAATGGTTGTGGAGAGGCTCTCCCTGTTGGAGGGGCCTCGCTCTCCTTATTAGCTTCATCAAATAATAATGATTTATTGACATACCCCTCGTACTGTACATCAATGCCACCCACGGTGCCTGAAGTGTCTGATTCAAAAAATAAACACAAATGAGCTTAGGTACTTCATTTTCAAAAAAAACATAGCATCAGTTAGATAACCTTAAAACTAACCAAGATACTTAACAATCAATCTCCAACCTTGGCAATAAATCCCTGACCTTAACATTAGATCCGTAAAGTTAACAATACATTCTTAACCTTAACAATAAATCCCTAACCTTAACATTAGATCCGTAAAGTTAACATTAGATCCGTAAAGTTAACAATACATTCTTAACCTTAACAATAAATCCATATACTTATCAATCAATTTTTAACCATAACACGCAAACGTAATTGCATGCCACATCTAACCTGTACAAGTTTGCGGCTCCATCAATGGGCTGGACACCAATCCTGTAGGGCTCTTATCCTTGTATACAGAGAGGGTTCCGGATCGTGCTTCGCTTAGTTCCTCTCTCAGTCTTCTATTTTGAGCAGACAGCTTAGCCACCTTCACAGAAAGAGCACTTATCTTTACACGGTCTGCAGCAATCATACCCTTGAATTTATTCTCGTTCTCGCGGCGTAATGATTCGTTCATTGCCGCGATGCTCTTCCAGTAGATAACTTGCTGAGGCCAATCCATTTGCTCAACTGCATCATTTGGCTGCTCGGCGTCTTCATCAATATCCTGTGGCATCACATATGCAACGGACAGGTAGAGTACTATTAAAAGGATTAATTAATTCAAAAACAAATAAAATCCACGATTGCTAAGTTCTTACAAGTGCATCAATTGGGATGTCGTCATCTTCTTCTCTCCTCTTCTTCTTGTGAAGAAGGTCTATTGGGCCACGAGCCCTGCCGGCGTCTACTGCAGCCGGACCCTTAATCCTCCTCTTCTCTCTCTCTCTCCTCTTCTCTTTCTCTATCCCCTGCTCCTTCCCCCAAAAACCTCCCTCGATTCTTTGAAGTTGTCCATGTTGCTGTGGAAGCTTTATCGTAGCTTTGCTTGCTTTCGCAACAACAGTGGCCAATCTCAAAGAACCAGCAACGTCCCCAAGTCTCACCCAATTTGTCAGGGGAGGCCTCACCATACAACCAAGTGCTGGCTTCTTGATGCCGGTGAGTTCATAATACCACAACTGCACATTAGAGATATAAAAACTTAACAAACACCTTCATCCGTAACAATTAATAAAGTAACCCTAACAATAAAAACGTAACCTTAACAACCAAACCGTAATATTAACAACCAAACCGTAACCTTGACAACGAAACTGTAACATTAACAACTAAACCCTAACCTTCACAATCAGTAAAAAACATGATTACTTACACAAACTAGAGGGGTACACCCTTGCAGATATAATGTCGTCTTCCCTGGCTCAGGACCCTTCAGTGCCCTCTCTATCGCGTCAGATGTCTCACTGAATATATAGGTCCCCCAAGCAGTGTTGTTGACCTGTTCGATGCTGTCGACGTACTTGAATAAATGCCTAGGAACGCCGAAAACACTGCTTGGACACCAAATCATGCTCAGCTGATAGAGGATCTGTAGCAGGACAAAGTCCTTCACATCTCGACGATCAGAAGATAGTACTAGCTTCAAGAGCAGGTCCTCCACATTGTGTCTGGTGGGGCCTCCTTTGGGGGGAGCTATACTGCTGGAACCCCCCGCCTCTGGTTTGTCAAAAAACCTGGACCAAATCCTATTTTTCTTGTCCCGATTGTGGTCAACATGAAGCCCCTCATTGGAGAACCATGTATGCTCCATTACCCACTCAAGGTTGAATGAGCATGGGATCTCTTCTCCATCATTCCTATCGGTGAAGACGAATTTTTTGCTCTTCTTGTCCCACTGACTCAAAATGTGCTCAAATGTGGGAAGATCGATACCAGGTGGGCCAAATTGGACGTAGTGTCTGAATACACTATCTTCATAGGCCGCAAAATGCCTTGGCCCCATACGCGTCACCAAATTCTGCATGAAGTCGTGGTAGGCATCGAAGCTGGCGGTGGGCCGCAACGTAATAGCTGGCTTTGCCCTTTTTCTACAAAACAAAAACACAAGACGAGAGCATTTTTGAGTATAATCAGTAAACATAACAACTATGCTGTAAAGTTTGCGGGTAAACCAACAACCTTAACAGCAACCCCATAACCTTAACAACAAAAACCTAACCTTAACAACCAAAGCCTAACCTCAACAACTAAACAACAACCTTAACAATAAAGGCAGTAACCAACAACCTTAACAACAACCCCACAACCTTATCAACCAAAACCTAACCTTAACAACCAAAGCCTAACCTCTACAAATAAACAACAACCTCAGCAATAAAAGCATAGACCTTGCATGTTAACAGTAACCTCAACAGCTAACAGACACCGTAATTTTGGACCTTCCCACCAGACTAAGAGCATTATCAATCAAACCATAACCTTAACAACATAAAACTTGCGGTAAAAATTACCTTTTGGGTGCTGCCACGTGCTTCTCTTTTTCTCCTCTCTGTAGACCAAGGAGCGCTCTAGTGGCATCGTTGGACGCGCCGGTGGTGCCGGTGGTGCCCTCTAGACCTTCGCGTGGGCCTACACTTAAATTTTGAGGCGGGCTTCTGGGATGAGAATGGCTGGTTGCGATGTCCTCTAGAACATCACCAATCGCAGCTCGAGCTTCAGATTCAGTCCGCACTGTAGTTGTATGGGCTCTATCTGAGATTTCGCACCGCTGGGCGTCATCGCTTTCTTGTGGTCGGCATTGAGGTTGGCTTTGGGGGTTGAATCGTCGCCCATTTTGATCTCTTTGCTTTGATTCGGTTTGCGTTGGGGTCGGTTGATTTAGGGCTAAGGTTTTGAATTGGGTTTCTGGAGTCGGTTTGCTTGCAGAAGAGAGAGATGACAGGGTACGGACGAGGAGGTAACTCATAACGGGGAATTTTAAATGTAAGGGTATTTTGGGTATTTTGAGCGGGGTTTAAACGGAGTTAGGCCTGGGGATTCGTTTTGGGGGCTGAAAGAAAATCGGGGGCGGTTTTGGGGGTAAAGGGCACGTGGGGGGGGGGGGGGGGGGGGGGCAGAGCACGTTTTGGGTTGTTTTGGGGGCTGGAAGCAATTTTCCCTAATTATTTTGTTATATTCGATTAAGTGTCTGTTTGTTTACATGAAAGTAGCTACGAAGTACGTGAAGTAAATAAAATAGAAGTCATTTCTGTTACTTTCGAGAAGAAAAGTATATTTGTTTCTTTGAATACGCTATTTCCAATACTTTCTTAGAAGTTGACATGACACCTACATGACATCTCTACTTCTTGAATCTTTTTCCTTCCCTGAAGGCTCTGAAGTACCTCGAAAGTAGATGAAATTGAGTCAAATTAGGAATAAAATCATTTTTGTTATTATATGGATATTTTCATGCTTTAAATAAAATCCTGAAAAATCATCTTTTTCTCTTCCTAACAATATTTATTATTGCTACCAAACGAAAAAAAATTAATGAAGTGAAAGAAACATTATTTCCTCTACTTTCAAAAGTTTACGAAAAAAAGTACTTCCGCTACTTTCTAATTCATAATTTCAGAAGTAGTAAATTTGATTTACTTCTTACTTCTAATAGTTCCTATCAACCAAACATGCCCGTAGTTCTTTCAACATCATATATATATTATTTAGTCGGCTAAGTCATTTTAATTGTTGGATAGACTTATCTGATCAGGATTTGCATCAAATAAAATTTATTTAGGGTGTGGTGGTGGTGGGGGGGGGTTAGTCACCTAAAATTCAAAATTAGAACCAGGATAATCTGTGGGATAAATTTTTAAAGTGTTAGTCACATAGAACTAAAACTAGAATAAAATTTTACAGTGTTAGTCAAGTAGAACTCTAACAAAACTAGAATTGAGATAATGGTACAAAATTATCCCACTTTTTTTATTTCTCTATATAAAAATAAGAGTTCCAGTCTCTCAAATTATTCCAAGTTTTAGCTTGGAACTAGGTGGTAAAAAACTAGAACTCATATTTATTTTGTTATTTTTATTTTTTATATTTTTTTTCTTTACTTCTTTCCTATTATGATTATCACCATCATTAGACCATCATTATAATAATAATTGCCAATATCTTATAGTCTAACCAAAAGCTATTTAATAAAGAACATTCTTCTAAGCGATTATCAATCAATAATAGTAAGTTTAAAATATTTATATCTTTAAAATGCATAAATATATATTTCATGATTATAAAAATTTATCGCACGTTATTTTATCAATATATATCATGCTTCACAAAATTATTCCTATTTATCCTACTAAAATATCCCACTAGCGAAAAATTATTTCACTTTAACAATTATCTTATTTTGCAAGAAAATGTTTCAATTGACTAACACCCCCTTACT